ATTTAAATCTTTATTTTATTAAACAATTAACTCATCCGTCATACTCTAAAAAAATAAAATAAAATACAGTATCCCATTTGATGAAAGAATTAATTTTGGAAAAAGTATGGAAAAAGGTCCCAAACTTGCACAAATTTCTCAATTTCGGATCTAAACTTCAATTACGTTCAATTAAGGTGCTGAGCTACATGAAACTCTCAAATAAGGTTTCAATTGGATGGAATATTCTCTTACTATTAAATGTCTTACATATCGTTAACCATTCGTAACTCTTTCAGTCAACTGGATTGCCACAAAGAAAAACATGCTTACGTATTATTTTTAATCCCACATGAATGCCACATGAACACCATTGATGCGTCCTAATTGCTTTTGAGTAAAAGGTCCTACTAAAGAGAATCAATGTGGCATCCATGTAGGATTAAAAATGACAAGTTAGCATGTTTTCTTATGTGGCAATCTAGTTGGCTAAGAGAGAGTTATGTATAGTTAATGGGCATTCAAGACATTTCATGATAAGAGAATATTCCATCTAATTGGGATCTTATTTGAAAATTTCATACAATTTAAGACCTTAATTGAGTGGGATTAAAGTTTAGGTCAAAATTGAGAATTTTGTGTAAATTTGAGACCTTTTTCTATACTTTTACCATTAATTTATATCATTTCCTTGGTGAGTTTTCAAGTAAAAAATAAAACGGTAACCTGACATAGTAGGGAGTGATTCATCTGTCTTTTGTTAATAAAAAAACTGATAGTTTTAAGCACGGATTGTTTGTTACGGCTGTTGGTTGGTAGTACCAACTACCATGGCCATCATCTTCCCAAGTGTTCATGGCGCGGAGGCGCCGCTCCTAGACGACACTGTCGACGGCTCTGTTGACTTCGAAGGCCGTCCGGTCCACAGGTCCAGCTCCGGAGTATGGAGATCCGCCGCTTTCATCATAGGTACGAACTTCTACTTCTATCCGATATATATTCAGAACATTTCATGAACTACGGCAGGCTAAATTTTACCCTGTTTTGACTGAAAATTTTTGTTTATTCGGCACAGCCGTGGAAGTAACGGAGAGGTCTGCGTTTCACGGGGTTGGTACGAACCTTATAACTTATCTGACAGGGCCACTTGGTCAGTCTACGGCCACCGCAGCAGACAACGTGAACGCGTGGACCGGCACGGCGGCTTTGCTGCCTCTGTTGGGGGCGTTCGTCGTTGATGCTTACCTTGGACGCTACCACACCATCATCGTTGCTTCTCTCGTTTACATTTTGGTTAGTCACTGTAGGCAAATTAAGAGTTGTATTATGTACTTGATTCCCTCACTGTTTTACTGTCTAAACTGTATCAAAATATCAGAGGCATCCCATCCAATGACTAGTTTTGTGCCAGTCCTAATGCACAACACTTTTTACTTGTCTACTTTTCCAAGTTTTAACCCTGACCATCTTGGAAAATGATTTCAGGGGCTAGGAATGGTGATCATGTCAGCTATATTGACTTCTTTGGGTTCTTCTGGCTGCCAAAACGCCAATATTGTTGCAACACGTTCTTCTCCTCAGGTCCTAGTAATGTTATTCGTCTTCTCCATATATCTAGTAGCAATTGGGCAAGGTCTGCACAAGCCTTCTGTGCAAGGCTTTTGGAGCAGATCAGTTTGATGGACAACACATAAAGGAGAGGATGATAGCCAAAAGCTCCTTCTTCAATTGGTGGTATTTTGGTATATCCATAGGGTCTCTCCTGTCGATTTTGATCATTGTGTACATTGAAGACTATATTAGTTGGGCCCTGGGGTTCGGAATTGTCTTCATATTAATGGCAGTTGGTCTAGTGATATTTTTGCTTGGAAGAAAGACTTACAGGTATGGTGTCAAAGAGAACGACAAAAATCCTTTTGCAAGATCAATTGGTATGGTGTTCGTTGCTGCTGTTAGGAATTGGCATTTTACCACTTCTTCAGTGATAGTTACCAATGAAGGGGAAGTTCACCAAACCCCACTTCAGCATAGTTCAGATCAATTCAGGTAAGAACAAAGAACCCAATTTTTTCTTTCAGGATTTGCAGTTCTCTTTCTTTGATATCAAAATTGCAAAAGCCAGGTTTAAAATGTTTTAATATCCTCTGAGAAACTCATTTGCTGATAAAAAGATATATCCCTTGAGAAACTAATCATTCTATTTTTTATTTTTTATTTTTTTTGCCTTTTTGTATTTAAATGGATTTGCTGTTGCATAGCATTCAGATAATATATGCTCCTTGTCTGCTCATATTCAAAGTCGTGGTCTTGTTTATAAGTGTTCTTTCTTCTTGCCTCATTGACCAAGATTTGATTTCTAGAAGATATCAAGAGGAGCTAATTGCTTGTTTATCACAGTCTCAATATGCATGATTTTTCTTTAACCAAACTGGAAAGGTGGACATACCAAACCCAAACAAGAATCTTGGCATTAGGTGTGATTTTCATTCTTGGGATGCAGCTCTGACTTTCAAATCATAACAATCTGGTTGTTTTCCCTATTCTATTAGAAACTGAAATTGGGATGGTGGTGTAAGGCTAAGTGGACTTTTCCCTCTTTTATAAGGCATTCGAGGCACCTAATCTCCTAGGAAGCTCCTTTCCCAGGTTGTTTCAAATTCAATGTCATGCATCTTCATACATCTTAGGTAGGAATCCTGGTTTTGTTGGGATAGAGGTAGTTTTTCCAGACAACTTGGGGTCTCATTATAGGGCTTTTCTCTAAATTTGTAGGAGTTATTGAGTATAACTTCGCAGGTATTTGTTTCCCCTTGTTGAGCTGATTATAGTTACTTGATTGTTGAAAGCAGCTCATTCATTGCTGTCGCTCAAGTATGTAAGGGTCATTGGTGGGACAGAAATGTGCTAAATAGCAATTGAGAATTGCAGCTATTGCTAAGTCTCCAAGGTGCAGTTTATTATATTTAAGAGAAGCCAATTTCTTTGGAAAAAGCTTGGCAAAATCAGAGTGGTTAGATGAAGTGGAGTCTCGGATGCCATTTTTGAGTGATTTGTTTCAAATTGTTAGATGGGGTTCTGCTGCCTCTTTTCAGTTTTCACTGATTTTTTATGCTCCTAGGCCGTGCAGTTGTTTTGGTGCAGTTCTATTTTTGGTTGCTCTTATTGCCAAGACTTGGTCATTGACTCAACAGTTAGAACTTCTCTATGTTGTTGATTTAAACATCAATGACATTTCTTGTTTGATTTTACAGATGTGTCAATTTCACACCATTATTTTTTTACAACCATTTGCATTGTTATTGCTAGATTTTACTTGTCTATTGACTCTTAATTTGCATCACTAGTCACTAATTAAAAACTCCTCTAATATAGAAGTTTTTTTATGCTAGATAGGTTCCTGAACAAAGCATTACATGCTCCAGATTGTTCCGGAGAAGCAAGGAAACAGTGCAGCATCAAAGATGTTGAAGATGCCAAGGCACTGCTGAGGCTCATTCCCATATGGGCAACATGCCTGGTGTATGCCATAGTGTTTGCACAAGCCTCAACTTTCTTCACAAAGCAAGGTGTCACCATGGACAGAACAATTTCCCATGGCTTCAAAATTCCAGCTGCTTCACTTCAATTCTTCACCAGCATTGCCGTCACCCTCTTCATTCCCTTCTATGACTCTGTTTTCGTCCCCACAGCTCGTGCTTTAACCCGTAAACCCTCTGGTATCACCATACTCCAAAGAATAGGAACTGGGATATTTCTGTCTGCCATTTCCATGGTAGTTGCAGCTCTAGTTGAGATGAAAAGGCTTAAAACTGCACAAGAGTACAGGCTAGTGGACAAACCGAACACAACGGTTCCCATGAATGTGAGGTGGTTAGTTCCTCAATACCTCTTGTTTGATGTTGCTGATGTCTTCACCGTTGTTGGTATGCAAGAATTCTTTAACGATCAAGTCCAACATGAGTTAAGGAGCATGCGACTTTCCTTTTATCTCAGTGTCATTGGTGTGGGGAGCATTTTGAGCAGCCTTATTGTTTCCACCATTGATAAGTTAAGTAGTGCAGATGGTGGTGACAGCTGGTTTTCAAGCAATATCAAAAGAGCTCATCTTCATTACTTCTACTGGTTGCTTGGGGGGCTCAGCATGGTAGGACTGACAGCATTTGTGCATTTTTCCAGGTCTTTTGTTTATGATAAGGGATGGCAACTTCATCTGCTAATTAGATTTCTGCATGCCTTTTCATGGCAATGCCAAATCAATTGTAAGTATCAACAGGAGGAGTATCTCAATTAATAAAAGCTTGTTAATCAGCAATCTCAAGATCGAATTTGGAGATAATTAGGTGTTGGCTGGATGCAATATGGTAGTGTGGTGGATTTGTTGCTGCTACCTGAAAGGAAAGGCCTTTTTTTAATGAAATCAAAACAAGTGCACAGATAAACTGACAAATCAACTCACTAATACATTTGCCATTTGCTAAGATAAAAATGTTAGTTTGAAGCATGTAATGTACCATGTACCAATGGCCAAAAAATGTTTTCCTTTGCTCTAACAGGATGTAACAATTGTTGCAATTATTTATTTTTTTATATTTAATGGTTAAATTCATTCACATTTATTAAAAATAATTATTATTTTTATTTAAAAAATTGTGATAAATCTTAATTATTAAAAATGAAAAGATAAATTATCAAGATTTTTTTTTATTCTCTACTTAGTAACAATATGGAGTAGTAATACACATACATATAAATTTTTTATATTACATTTACCTATAATTTTAATTATTTATCTTTTTATTTTTAATAATCGACATTTATTTACATTTATTAAAAATAATTATTATTTTCATCTAAAAAAATGATAAATTTCAGCTATTGAAAATGAAAAAATAAATTATTAAGATTTTTTGTATAAGTGTAATTTGTAAAATTTGTATGTAATTAAATCGTTCATCACAGCTATAAGGATTCAACTACATTAAAAAAAAAAAAAACACAAACCTGTGAGGATTCAACTTGTTCGTATTTTATTTGCAAGGGAATAAATATCGTTACCTAATCTAGTTTTTCTTCTTTACTTTTAGAAAAATAATGAATCTAATGGTATAGGTTGCATATAACTGATATTAAATGGCCAAATTTGACATATGATCTTATATTAGGTGGTTACCCTGTAAGTGCTCAACCTAGTTACCTATGGTTAAAACTTCCACAACTCCCCTATCTTCCTTCTTCCTTCTTTAAAACAATACCTTTTTAAATGATCTTCCTTTTTAGAACATCATGCTGGAGATTATGTTTGGTCAAAAAAAAGGAAATTAAAAATGTGAGAAGTTTGGTTATTGCTGAGGAGGCTAACAGACAAGCCAATGAAACATTGGCATGGATTTTGTGGACTTGTCATTTGCTGGCATGTGAATGAAAACTTGGTGTAAAAACTAAAAAACATT